CCCTCCCTCTGACCCAGCCCTGACCATTGGCTCTAGGTGCTTATGGCCAGCTCTGTCTTGCCATCAGAGGGCTTTCATCCTTGCCTCACCCAGGATGAGACAAGGTCCCAGAGGCTTTCAGGAAGTGTTGGCTGAATGAATGAATGAATGAATGAATGAATGAATGAATGAATGAATGGGCACCTGAGTGAGTATGGTCCTCCTGAGCGTTCCTAATGGCCAGGTTCTCATCTGCCAGTGTCAGGGGTGAGAGAGAGAGACAAGAGCTCGTTCCAGACATAGTTCCTGGGCCCACCCCCAATGCCAGAGCCTCTCAGAAGAGCCCTCAGAAGAGATAAGTCCCAGGTCAGAAGGGGACGCTGGGGCTCCCAGGACCCTTTGCTTCTTTCCCTCCAGGGCAAAACCTCTGCCCCTCCCCACCGGAAGTTTCCAGAGTTAACACTGCTCTGGGCCTTTGCACATGCTATTCTCTGTGCCAAGAACACCTGTCCCCATCAACAGATCCTTCTCACCCTATAGGCCTCAGCTCGGTCACATAATGAGCTCAGCCCTGTGCCAAAAGTCTTAACTACCATTGTGGTCCTCGCCTTCCCGACCCCTCTGAGATGGAAAGCCCTGCAGGTCTCCCAATTCTGTAGGTAGCAACACAGTCTGCCAGTAAGATGCAGAGAAACCAGACTCATCTCAATGCCAAGCTCAGAACTGCTCTTTCACGCTGACCACCTCCTCCAGGAAGCCCTCCTGGTCCCCACACCCACAGGGGCCGGGGCTGGAGCTCCTCTGGGCTGTCCCTGGAGGCACACGTGTTTCCACCATCACAGCCCTAACAGCAATGCCTCACTGTGTCTTCCTGCCAGACTGGGATTTGAAGGCAGGTCAGATCTTGGGGGGCATTTTTATCGGTGTCACCCAACATCGTCTCCTGGGTCTAGAATGGGGCCTGGTGCACAGCAAGTGCTCAGTAAATGTCGGTTATATGGGTAGATGGGTCCATGTCTTGTTCACTCCATCGTGAATCCTGCACTGATTCCCGTTCACGTGGATTCCCACGTCCCCACAAACGCCGCACACAGTAGATGCTCAGTCAACCCTCTCTGCCTGAAGGAGGGCAGAGGTGATGCCCCGGTCCCAGCCTGCAAGGCCCCGAGGGCCTCCTAAAAGCCTGTTAAATCAGGGAAGAATGGGCTGCTGGGGAAACTGAGGCACAGAGGGGGCATGCCTAGCTCAGACTCAGGCCCCCAGCACCCCCCACGCGCGGCTCTCACCTCGCCAACTCCTCCCTCGGCGCCCCCCCCCCAGGCAGCCCTCCGTCTCCCTGGGGCTGGCGCGCGCCACTCCAAATCTCATGCCTCAGAGCTCAGCGTGCTCCAGCCTCCCCTCCTGCCGCCGAGCCGAGCAGCTGGTGCTCCCATGGAAACCACAGGCCTCCACCCGGCCCCCCCACCTGCAGCGGCCCCCCTCGCAACCCCCGCTTTAAGACAAATATTGTCATTAACATGCAAATGCATATACGATTACCATAAATGGGGGGCCGCTCGGCAGTGATGGCCGAGCCCTGTGACGGGCGCCTGCCCGGGGCAGGGTGGGCATTGATGTTCGGCCCCCCTCGGGAGAGAGGGACAGCACGGCCACGCCAGGCACCTCCGCGGGCCCCCTCTGAGGGCGCTGTCCCCGGCTGGGGCCTGGTGGGGGGGACATGGGGACGCTGGCCAGTGGGAGCCCCCCAGGTCCTGGCCTGAGCTCCTGGTGAGGCACAGGTCTGAGTGGAGAAGCGGCCTCCTTGCTCCCCTTCTTCGTGGCTCTCTCTGCCTCCCCCTGCCTCTCCCTGGCTGTGTGTGGGGGGTCCTCCCTCTGCCCCTGTTTCTCTCAGTCTCTGGGTGTCTCTCTCCTTCTCGGCTCCTGCTCTGAGTCTCTCTTCGTCTCTCCTTGTGTCTCTAAATCTGTTTCTCCATCTCTCTGTCTCCATCCCTTTCTCTTAAAAACAAAACAAGCCAGCGCCCAAGGGCCTGCCCTCTTTCTAAGGACTGTGTCCTTCCCATTCTCCCCCGACCCTGCCACATTCCCAGAGCCCCAGGCGTGGCTGTACCTCCTGCCCATCCCTTGGTCTTGGCATGAGACCCCACTGCGCAGGCCCTGAGGCATCGGGGCGCCTCGTGCCACAGCCCCTTCCCTCCCCAACACCATCTCTGAGGGGCCTGACTCTTGGATTGGGGGGACCTGTCACTCCGCCATCACACAGATAGACTTTCATATTCCCTGGGCTGGAGGGAGACACGTGGGTGACAGTGGGGGCCCCAGCTCCGGTTGGTCCTTGAGACCCAGTACTGGCCCCTCCGAGCCTCAGTTTCCCTTCCATGTGAAACGCGCTAGTGCTCGCAGCCCACCTCAGTGGCGATCCCTTCAGTGGGGGGCCTACACCGGCCCCAGGCATGACAGTTAAGGATGAGACGATCATTAGGACGAGGATGATGCTGGGTGGCCCTTGCTGCGTGGGGTACCAGCGGCATGGTGACCCACTTCACCCCCTCTGGCCCTCCAGCTCCCCTGGTGCCCATTGTCATGGATCCCCTGGCCTTCGGGAGGGATTCCTCTCCCCTCTCCCCCTGCCAGGACCACACCCCCGACCCCACAGCTCTCAGCCAGCACCAACAGCGGGCACCTGAACCCTGTTAGCTCCCCGGAAACTAAAGCAGATCAGTGTTGGTGGGAGGCACCTGAACACCTCCTGGACTTCCCATTCATCATTCCACCGCCCTTTGGCTGAGACCCAGAGAGGGGCAGCCACTGGCCAGAGGTCATACAGCTGAGCCCCAGCCGCTGGCCTCCCTCCTCGCCACTGGCCCTCAAGAACCCCTCACCTCCAGCTTGCCCCACACCCCAGCCTCCCCTCACAGGTGAGGCCCAGCCAGACCCAGCACAGGTGGGATCAGGAGAGAGATCCATCCTTGACCCTTGGGTGTCGGAGAGTGGATATGAGGGCAGGCGCCCTGCCTTAGCCCCAGGTCCTGTTTCCAGGGCCCCTGGGAAGTGGAGGGTGACAGGCAGGTGTCATGGACACCCTGCTTCCTAATTTTCACCCTGCTGGGAAAGCCCCTGAGGTGCCCCTAATCCAAGAATCTCCAGCCAGAAAAACATAACCACACATTCAAGGGGCCCTGCTCTGCGGACAGTGGGGGAAACTGAGGCTCCAGCCACAGTCCCTCACTTCTTCCTGGCCAGGGGGTGGGAGGAGCTCCAGGGGAGATTTTAAAAATGGGAAAAAAGGAGAAGGAAGGATCACCCAGTGTGTCCATCTCCTGCACCCTATTGGCTTCCTGATCCAGAGCTCACCAACAGCTTTTCAATTCAACATTTGGGGGCCGTGTGGACACCCCCTCCAATCTCCATCAGAATCTTTCTAGAAATGGGCCCTTCAGGCATACTAGGGGTAAGGGCTTGTGGAAAGAGCCCTCCATGCAGCCGTGGACCCCTGAGCATGACTCATGGGCGAATGGAAACCCCCTGCCCTCTTAGTTCACATAGAAGAATTAGATTTTTCAAGCCCGATTTTTTTTTTTTTTTTTTTTTGGTGATGGTTGGATTTGAAAAGAGGTGGGGGATGGGAAGGGTTTCCTTTCTCCCTCTAAGATACCAGCTGGAGGGTCTAGCTACAGTAACAGGCCCTGGCTCCATCCCACCAGACTCTCCCTATGGCATGCCCCAGTCCATCATCTATCCATTCATTCATTCACTCACTCATTCATTCATTCATTCATTCAACAAACATGTATTCATGCTTCCTATGCCTGCAACAGGGAGGAGGATGGAGACAAACGATCTGAAATAGGTCATGGGCCCTGGTCCATCCCCAAGGCATCTCCAGGGTCTTGTCAGGGGTGTCCAGCACAAAGCCTTCACTGTCCCCACCCTCCGTCGCCAACACCTTTACAGGAGAGCCTTCCGAGCTACCGTACTTCAGACAGTGGGCCCATGATTGGAGCCCAGGGCTGGGGCCACAGCCCCTGGGCACCTCCTCCCAGCATCCCATCAGAGAGAGAATCAGGTGGGAGGGAGGTGGGCAGGCCTCCCCCACTCCTCCTGCCTCCCACACTGGGCTCCCAGGTCGCCCACGCCTCCCTGTCCACCCTGGGATCTGGGCTCTGCCAGATGGACAGTCCAGGCTCATCGTCTTTGGCCTCAGACCTCAACACATTGCTAACAGGCTAGGCCAGTTTTAACTTGAGCCAAAGGTGGAGGCAGGGAGGGGGAGGGCAGAGAAATGGAGGGGGGACGCTGATCCAAACAGAGAGGATGGGCAGGGGGGGAGGGCAAACCATAGCCTTTTAACCACCCAAGGCTGGGGAGGCTGGCGCCACCCCCCCCCCAGCCTGGCTCAGCTCCCTGATACCCCCACCCCGCTTTCTTTGTAGTTACCGATTAGCCCAGGGTCCTGGGCATCCGTGTCCCCTGCGGCTGGCCGGACCTGCCCCGCTGGCCTGGCTTTGTGAAAATGACCAAAGCAATGGAGTCCAGAGGTGCAAACTTCCCCGACGGGGCCTGGGGAGGCCGAATGAATGGGGGGCGGGGAGGGGGGGGTGATGTTCAGGCAGCTCCCCCAGCAACGGGGCAGGAAAGAGTGGGTGAGGGAGGGAGGAAGGGGTGGGGGTCCAGGGGGAATGGGAGGGAGAGGCAGAGAGAGAGAAGGATGTTGGGGGGGGAGAGGATGGGAGGTAGAGGGAGATGGGAGAGGAGAGAAAAGGAAAGAGAGAGGGAGAGGGAGAGAGAGGATGCCGGAAGGTGGGGAGGGAGGGAGAGGGGGCGGAGGAGGGGAGGGGGCCAGCTCGAATCTGTCAGCTGCACCCCCAGAGGGGGGAGGAGGGGTGGGTGGGAAAGGGGGGGAGAAACGATGCTGTGGCAGAGGCGAGCAGAGGGAGGAGGTGAGGAGAGGAGGGCTGGGGGATAGAAGATGCCGGAAGGTGGGGTGGGGAGGCCGACGGAGGGGAGGGGGCCGGGGCGCCCACCTTTGTGCATGCCCGTGTAGGGGTCTTTGAGCACCGTGAGCTCGTAGATGCGGCCGAACTGCTCGAAGAGCGGCTTGAGGTCCTTCTCGTCCAGGTTGCGCGGGATCTGGCCCACGAAGAGCTTGATGGCGTCCAGGTCCTTCATGCCGTCGGGCTGCCCCCCGGGGGGCTCGGGCCCGCTGCTGCCCACGGGCGAGGGCCGCGTCTGCAGGAGCTGCTGCTGCTGCCGGCGCGCCTCGCTCTCCGTCAGGCGGGCCATGGCGGGCGCGGGCGGGCGGCGGGCGCGGGACCGAGCCGGCGGCGGCGGCGGCGGCGGGCGGCGGGCGGACTCGCAGCTGGAGCGACGGACGCCGCCTCCCGCCTCCCTCCCGCCCCGTCCCCGCGCCCTCCTCCCTCCTCCGCGCGCCCGCTCGCTCCAGCATCAGGACCACAAAAGGGCGGCTCCGCAGCGGCCCCTGGCGGCCGGAGCGCGCCTCGCCGCCGCGGCGCCCCTCGCGTCCCGCGTCCCGGCGCCCAGGGCCGGCGGGGCGCCGAGGCCGGCGGGCCCGCCGCCGCGCCTCCTGGCGGGGGAGCGCCAGCCCGAGGGCAGGGCAGACCCGGCTTCCAGGGGGCGCCCGCCCCTGCCCTGCGGACGACAGGAAAATACACTAGAAGCGGCGCACGGCCCTATAGGGTGCCCGCTTGGCGTGGCCCGGGCTGTCCTTGGCACTTCTAAGCCTCGAAGTCAACAGCGGTAGCAGTAGCGCTAAGAGTGTCAGCGACAAAAACGCAAAAAAGAGCACCCCGGTACTAACCATGTGCCAGGCACTGTGCCCGGTACTTTTAAGTTTATAACTTACTGAATAGAAATAGCAACCATCGTCGGGGGTTCAGCAGCAAAACACACAAAACAACACCAGAAAACAAACAAACAAATAGCAACCCTTGTGTTTTTATCAGCAGCAACCAGAAGTAACATTTTTCCTCACACTTGCTGTGTGCACATACTATTCAAAATATTTCAAAGGATATTGACACATTTGGTCCAGCTGCTCTAAGAGTGGCATGTCACCCTGCCTTCAAACTCTCTCCAAAGATGTCCCCAAATTAAAGCCCACGAGGCCCTGTAGGACCGGCCCCCTCCCCTCCCTCTCTCTCCCTCACCTGCTCTGCCTCAGCCACACAGGTTTCTGTTCCTCCAGCACGGCAGGCGGGGTCTGCCTCAGGGCCTTTGCACGGGCTGTGCCCTTTGCCTGGAATGCCATCTCCCAGATGGTGCATGGCCGACTCACTCACTGGATCCTCATCACTTTCTCTCTCCATCTTTTCTAAAATCATTCAGCCATTATCATCTCCTTTCTCTGGCTTGCTTTTTCCTCCATGGTATGTATACCCTTTTAACTTAACTCTAATATGCTATGTATTTACTTGTTTATTAATGAACCGCATAGCTCTTTCCAGGTGCCAGGCTCTGTGCTGGACACTCAACATGTAAGAACTCATTCAATCCACACAACAACCCCCTGGGTGGGCGCAAATAAACAGATTCTGACAGACTATGTTTGGTCGGTGGAGCATGGGACTCTTGATCTCGGGGTCATGAGATCAAGCCCCATGTTGGGGGTACAGATTACTTAAATAAACTTAAAAAAAAAAAACACTTAATGCAGGGGTGCCTGGGTGGCTCAGTCAGTTAAGCATCTGACTCTTGATTTTGGCTCAGGTCATGATCTCAGGGTCCTGGGATTGAGACACATGTTGGGCTCCTTGCTCAGTGTGGAGTCTGCTTGAGATTCTCTCTCCCTCTGCCCCTCCCCCTGCTTGTGAGCACTCTCTCTGGAGTGGATACATAAATCTTTAAAAAAAAAAAAACTTTCTAAAAAAAATAAAAAACAATGTGATATTTAAAAGATCAAAATGCAAAAAATTACAATGAACAAGATATCAAAATTTTAAATAAGCACAGAATTAGTATTACTGAGCTTTCCCATTGGCTCAGCATGGCACTGTCACTGATCCTGATTTTAATTTTTAATTTGTTTTATTTTTATTTTAAATTAAAAATTCTGTTTTAAAACAAAGACAGGACCAGTAACAATGCCATGCTGAGCCAAAAGGGAAACTCAGGAATACTGATTCTATTTAAAGTGTTGACATTTTGTTCATTATGGATTTGTTGGTCATCAGTGCTGGCTTTTTAAAATTGCATTAAAATAATCTTTATCTTGATGACTGGGTTTTTTGGCACCCCCTTAAACTTTCTCCCCAGGTGAGCTCACCCTGGTCCCTCCCAGCACAATCCTCAAAGCAACCAACTGTAAGAGGGGCGTACTGTTTCTATACCCACTCTATAGAGGGGGAAACTGAGGCTCGGAGTGGTCAAGTCACACGGAAAGAGTGCTGGGATTTGAACCCAGCCAGCTGACTCTGGAGCTCACACACTTCCCGCGATCCCACACCATCTTCCTCACGCTACAGGTAGCTAAGCCTGGGTTTCCTTAATTGTCAAGTGACACCAAAGAGTGAACAGGGGGATGTCCCTGGCATGAATTCAGTGAGCTAATTGGTGAGGCTTAGTATAGTGCCTGGGACATTCTTAGCACTCAATGAATGGCTATTGTCACGACTGTTACCAGCAGCCACCTGCCCAACCATAAACAGGAGCAGAACATCGGGGTCGGCTGAGAAGCAGGGGTGGGGGGTGGTCAGGAGTCCTCCTACGGCATCTCACCCCTTGGCCCTGCCTGGCCCCTGGTTCTCGGCTCAGCCCCAGGATGGGCTGGTGGAGCAGGGCCGGAGACAGCTTCCGTCTCCATGGAGACCGGAGGACGGTGCCCGAAGCCCTGTGGGTCTCTGATGTGCCAGGAGAGTCGGTAAAAAGGACAAAAATTAAACCCAGCAGGCACCCTGTGAGCTGAAGATGCACCTTCCTTAGCCTCTTGCTTCTACCCAAAATGAACTGGGGGGTGGAAGGGAAGGGGCTGGAGAGAGCCTAGTCCAGCTCCCGTCTGGCCTTGGGGAGCTTAAACTCAGCGTTCCACCTTCTGAGCGATACTCAGCCCTGGAGTTCATTCCCTGACCCAGCTGGTGCACCTCAGCCGGAGCAGGGGTGGGGGAAGGGCAGGGAAAACAGCCTGTGCATCTGGAAGCATCTGGAGCCCACGAGGACGCTTCTCTGAGTTGTTTCCAGCCAGGGGCGGGGGCGGGGGGGACCTGGTCACAATTGGCATCATGGCAGGGGTCCCGCCAGCTGAGATATTACTGAAGAAGCAGAGGGTGGGAGCAGAGCCCGTTGGAGAGTCCGGGTGGGAGGCTTCCAGCAAATCACTTGGCTCTCCCGTCCTCGAGGCCCATCCACGCTGTAGCCATGGTCATCTTCCATCACAAGGATGGACACATTGTGGACGCTTGGGCTGCAGGGAGCGTGGGCGTGCAAGTATCTGTTCGAGTCCCTGCAAATCAGCTTTTTTTTTTAAGATTTTATTTATTTATTTATTATTTAGAGAGAGCATGAGCGCACTTGTGAGCACAGGGAGGGCAGAGGGAGGGAGAGAGAGAATCTCAAGCAGACTCTGTGCTGAGCATGGACTCCATCTCACAACCCTGAGATCATGATCTGAATCGAAACCAAGAGTCGGATGTTCAACTGACTGAGCCACACAGGGGTCCCTCAATCAGCTCTCTAAATACAAAACAAAACAAAACAAACTTAAATAAATTGATCTTAAAGGCTGGGATGCCTGGCTGGCTCAGTCAGTTAAGTGTCTGCCTTCGGCTCGGGTCATGATCCCAGGGTCCTGGGATCGACTCCCACACTGGGCTCCCTGCTCGGCGGGAACCCTGCTTCTCCCTCTGCTGATCCCCTTGCTTGTTCACTCGCTCTCTCTGACAAATAAATAAATAAAATCTTAAACAAATTTTATCATAAAGGCAAATCTACATTGCTGCCTTAAAAAGGAATGAGGTTTATTAGATATGCAGTGAAAACCGTATTTTTTAGGAGGTTTAAACTGGACTCTGGCGCTCTTACTCTTGGTTCAGAAGGGCCATCAGCAAGCATTAGAGGTGTGAAAGACCCGTTAGCACCTGAAAGACTTTCTCCTGACTTCAGTGGAACCACAAACAGCTGGAAAAGGTGGTCTTTCCATCAACCCCCCAAATCACAGTGGGAGTCCCACCTTTTGGGAAACCCTGGATTAGGGGACGGTGCTCTAACCCTAACAAAAGGTGGTTTGTGCTGTGTGGCCCTGGGTGAATCACCTGAACTCTCTGGGCCCCAACTCCTTTATCAGTAAAATGTGGGGAGGGGCGGTGGCAGTTCTGTGAAACGGAGCTGTGAGGCTCACATGATATTGTGGATGGGTAGCGGGGTGAGCCTCAGCCCCGTAATAACGGTGTCCAAGAAACGCCGAGTTTTTAGACTCTACAAATTCACTTAAATCCCGATTCTTGCCCCCAGCCTTCCCCTGGCTGGCGGGAAACCCTGGGGGCTGTCATTCCTGTGTCAAAACCTCCTCCTCCCCAAGCATGCAGGAGGTGGCCCTGAGCAGCACCTCTGGGCCCCGCGTGTGCCCTGAAAACTCCCCCACGTCCGATTTAGGACCCTTCCCTAGAACACCTATAAGGAGGCTCTTTGCAAACTGTAAGGAGATGTCAAGAGGGAGCTGGAAGGCACGGCGGTAACTTTCTAAGGGGAGGAGAGCAAAGTCCAGAAAAAACACGGATGCCAAGAGTGAGAACAACACCAGTTACCACCATATCAGCTAGTTACCATTGCGTAACCATGTACAACAAACTCAGTGGCCTGAAACAGGTTTACTGTCTCACGGTTTCCCTGGGTCAGTAACTTGAGCACAGCGAGTCACTGGGTTCTCAGTCTCACGAAGCTGCAATCAAGGGGTCAGCCAGGCGGCATTCAGAACGCCAGACCCTCTTCCAGGCCCAGGTGGTTGTCATTCCCATTGACTTGCTCAGCTCCAGATGCCGCCCGCGGTTCCACACCACACGGCCCCCCGTCTGGCCAGCTCACCCAGGGCCAGCAGCAGACTCCCCTGCTCCAGTCGGCTAAGATGGAGCCTCGTTGCAGAATGTGCATGTGCCCATCTGGGCATCCTGCCCAACATGTGGATCCTGATCCTGCTGGGGCTGAGGGGCGGGGCCTGGGACTCTTCATTCCCAACAAGCCACCAGGGGAGGGGCCGCAGGTTTGGGGCGATGTCTGCAGTGTTCCCGACTGGACTTTTCATAGCAAGGCTCTTATTTCACCGGATGTGGGCACGA